TATAGCATTTTGCCCAACCAGTTAACTGGGATACCAAGTGCAATGAATCTTGTAGTGGAGGAATCCTTGTTAGTCTGTGGACTGTCACAGGAATGGTCGACTCCTATGAGAAGGCAGTAAATCATACTTCCAATTTAATCATATATCTTTAATGAAGTTGTAGCAGAAATTTTAACTTGAAATTGATGAAGTCCTTAAATGAGATTATGATACATTCTTTCAATTTATTTTGGAACATGTGTAAAATATCAGATACTGATGTGCTATCTTATTGATCGGATGGATTCTGACCTTGTTCATTTATGACTTACAGTGAAGGAAGAAGAAGGAGATGGGTATTTCCCACACTAACTGAACCCCATGGGTTTGAGGTAGCAATTGATGAGTTCTCCAATGGAGAAAATTCCTTGACACATTGGGTGTTCTATTGATATTTTCAATTTGGTGTAGTGAATGTTCTGTGCTCTCTGCCTCCCATTTGCATGCATGTCTTGCATAATTTGAATCAGCTGCTAGTTGCGATAAAAATTCCAAAAAAAAAAAAGGTACCTTTGAAGATCTGTAAATCTGAACATGTCTTCCTTAAAGGCTTAAACCTGAGCCTATGACTTGAAATTTGCGTAGATATAACTGGAGACACATTATCGTTTTATGCAACATGTTGACACTATTACAACATCCCCTGCATTATACCAGCCAAAATACGTTTGCGTTGGTGTATATGCATGTGCTCCTTTTGGCAGAGAGGCATTTTGATGGAGACTTGGTAGCATGGGATACCAAGTCTCACATTGAATGTGATGGGTACTTAAGGGGGATGGGGAACCTTGTCCCAAAAGCTAGCTATTGAGGTGGGAGAACCAATCCACTTAAATACCCTATGGAGCATATCATACTACTCAATGTAAGACTTGGTATTTCATGTTACCAAGTTTCCATCACATGCTCACACAGCATCTCTGATACACACATCATACATTAGAAAGGAGGTGAACTTCCTTAGTTGTCACTCAGCATATCTTCTTAAAACCAAATTTTATATATGGGATTTCTTGTAGGTGGATCACTAAAAAAGGGAATTTTATGGGTTTGTTGGTTGTGATGTATAAATACCTTACAGTCTTCAATTAAAGCATGAAAGCTAAACCCCTCTTTTTGGTGATCCAAAATCACTGTTTATTATTGAGAACTTGTTTTTAGTAGTGGTTAAACTTTTGCTGCAGAATTCCAAGACAGTGGATGAAGCCAATTGGCTGAAGATAGTTGACCTGTTCCCATATTGGTTCAACGTAGCAGAAGGAGGTGCCGTGCATAATACTGTTGATATGCAGTCATTGTTTCTTTTGACTGGACCAAATGGTGGTGGTAAATCAAGTTTACTTCGATCAGTTTGTGCGGCTGCACTACTTGGGATATGTGGATTCATGGTTCCTGCTAAGTCAGCCCTGATTCCTCATTTTGATTCTATCATGCTTCACATGAAGTCATTTGATAGCCCAGCTGATGGGAAAAGTTCATTTCAGGTTTGGCACTGATTCATACTTTGCACTTAAGAAATATTTATAATTTCAAAGTAACCAGTGTAAAGATTGTGAGGTTCAGCTTCTGGAAAAGACCATATGTGGACTGGGTAATTTACCTACCCCTGCCAACTTAGCAAGACCTACAAACTACCGGAAACCTGTCACCACTAGACTACACTTGGTGGCTTCAAGCCTTCACATACTAGAGTTTTAGCTGCTAATGTTGATGAGTTTGAAAGCTCTCATGTGCTGTGATTAACATAGCCAAATCCCTCTTAGTTCCCTTCTGCTAGAAATTACTGCCCAAATCAGATCCCTAAATAATAGTTGTCATGACAACGTATTCATGGTGATTGGTCTAATTAAAAATCCTATAATGCATGCCTCATTATTTTAAGCCGTTTTCCGTGAATATGTTGGCACCCAGTAAACTTGACACAATGCTAATGAAAATTATCAGTGAGTAACCTCTATTACTGTAGGGAAAATGTAGAGATTACTGATACTATTTAGCATGAAAGCTTTGAACAAGAAAGAACGAAATGAAATACACTACACCAGACTTTCGAGAGGCCAGGCCCTCTCCCTGAAACTGATTCTCCTGCTGCTCCCTATTTACGTTCCCCCCACTGCTCTGACTTGTCAGAGGACGATACTCTAGACCCATTCCCATTCTGCCCTTCTGTGTCGCATCCCTTGGTTGTTTTGTTTCTGTTGGGCATCCTCTGATACACTCCGTCCCATCTATTTGGACGCCCATCATAATATCATCAACTTAATTGCTGCATTCTCCATCGATTTATAATCAATCATTTTTAACAAACTTACATCCTTCTATCTTTCAGTATACATGTGTGACACAAGCTAGGTCATGGTGTGTCCTTAGGCTCATCAGATCAGTTCTCTCATGTCTGTAGGAACATTGATAGTGTTGAAAAAAAGAATAGCAAGAAGTGAACATTATTACTCTCTATAATTAATAGAACTGTCTAGCGAAGAAAAGAAATTAAGATAAAGATTGGGTTAGGATTAGGAGGTTTCAGAGTGATTTAAAGTTGATGTAGGGTGTGATTTCCCCGTTCTTCAATTAATTGTTGATAGGTCATTGTGACAGCGTGCAATTTATGTTGCTAATTTCACTTAGTGGGATAAGACTTTTCATTGTTGATATTCCTCTTTGCCTACTAGTAGTTTGAGGCCAAGGTTAACATATCCTGAACCTGACAATATCTCAGTCTTTCCTTTCCCCTTTCTCTCTTTTTACAGTCAGCACCACCACTTGTTCAATTTTAGATCCATGTTGTCATCTTTTATATTGGTGCCTTAAAGTCTCGCAAAACGCTACTATAATCAGAGTTTGGTGCAGAAGATGAACTAGAAATTTTGATGTTATACTTCTCTAATCAGAGTTTCTTGCAACCTAAATGCTGAGGAAAGTATAAAGAATTAGTAGGTCTCTGTTTTTTAAGATATGGCATTGTAGTTGACTTGGATGTTTCATTCATCTTGGTCTGTATCAGGTAGAAATGTCAGAAATTCGATCTATCATTGCCGGAACAACCAAAAGAAGCCTTGTGCTTGTTGATGAAATATGCCGAGGAACAGAGACTGCAAAAGGAACCTGTATTGCAGGCAGCATCATTGAAACTCTCGATCGAATTGGTTGTTTAGGCATTGTATCCACTCACTTGCATGGAATATTTGATTTGCCTCTAAACACCAAAAACACTGTGTACAAAGCAATGGGGACAGTATGCATTGATGGACAAACAAAGCCAACATGGGAGCTGACCGATGGGATCTGTAAAGAGAGTCTTGCATTTGAAACAGCTAAGAGGGAAGGAATTCCTGAGACTATTATCCAAAGAGCTGAGGATCTTTATCTATCAGTTTCTGTGAAGGCATTGCTTCCTCAGGGAAATTTCTCTGAGCAAGATCAAATTTCTTCACACGCCAATGTTGATAATTCTAATGGATCGCATCTTCACTCTAGAAAGGTTATAAAGAGAGGTGCCAAAGAGAGAATGGCATTAGTTGACCAAATAGAAATTTTACGTCAGAAAGTTGAAAGTGCTATCTCCGCAATATGCCATGAGAGGATAATGGAGCTGCATAGGAAACTAAACACACAAGCGTCCACTGAGATTAAGTGTGTTCTAATTGGTCCAAGGGAACAGCCTCCGCCATCAACTATTGGTGTTTCAAGTGTTTATGTGATTCTCAAACCAGACAAGAAACTTTACGTTGGAGAGGTACTTATCTTGACTCTTCCTCTCTTTGGGTTAGATCTTTATCTTTTTCTGGTGGTGACTGATAGAATGGAAAAATCCAAACCAATGCATATTTAAACTACGCATTGGAGTTTTTTTTAAAAAAAAAAATAGGAACTCTAATTCAACAATTGTGATATACCAACATTAACAATAAGGAATTGTTAGTTGTTGATAAGTGGTTCAGGTGGCTATCCTTTTCTGTGGTAAAGAAAAAAATTTGTATCTTGAAAGATACTATTGCCCATAGTTTCCTTAAGTAGCAATTATAGTTCGTGAATTGGGTTTTAGCATATGCTTGGGCAACCCTTTTTTCTCAGTATGAGGTCTGACATGCCTTGAAGGAGAAATAAATGGATCTATAATGAATTAGTAACTTGAACTTTTGTCATGAATATATTACTGTGAAGGATTTTTTATTATACTTGCACTCTTGTTAATTTATTCTTGCTTCTCACCTAATTCGGAAGCTTACCAATCTGATTGATTGCTGTCCTCCTTTACTGGGATGAACTGGTGACAGACGGACGATCTTGCAGGTCGAGTTGATGCTCATCGAGCAAAGGAGGGAATGCAGAATGCATCTTTTCTCTATTTCCTTGTGCCAGGAAAGAGCCTGGCTTGCCAACTGGAAACTCTGCTCATCAACCAGCTTCCTGGCCAAGGCTTTCAACTAACCAATATTGCTGATGGTAACCATCGGAACTTTGGCACATCTAACCTTTTATCGGAATGCGCCACTTCTAGATAAATGTAGGAAAACCCCACTTAGCGGTCATTTATATAAATGGATGGCTCTTATCATGTGTATATGTTGCTGATTTCTCAACATGAGGCAATTCAGGAAGCTGAGGCTGCAGCATTTTTGTTAGATGTAGTTGCAGCTGCTGCATTACTGATCTTCCCTGCAACATGGGAGGAAACTATTATTTTGATTAAGCAAAGATGGGAAATGTCCATGTATAGTGAGTCTCGTTTTGGCTTGTATTTCTTAGATGTTCTGATGCATTCTTTGTGCTCGATTTTTCTTTTTGAGCCAAGGGTACTCAATTTTCTCCACTACTCTAGCACGCCTTATAGATTAGCAACAGTTATACAGGAAGCACTATTTTCAGATGATGCATATCGCGTCATACAAATCTTCGATTCTGGTCCCAGACGTCCAATACTTAGCATCTCACGAGGAACCCAGAAAGCCGTTTCCTGCTATTGATCGCATTTATGAGTTCTCAGAGGCAAGTACAGGACATTCAAGTGGAAAGCTTGTGATGCAACGTTATGAGCTTGCTCAAAGTTCAAATCCAATACCCATTGAAATGGCAAGCGTTGAGTATACTGCCGTTGAATTCTGAATTTTAGACAATCTGAATTCACAAGTACATTATGATAGTTATATAATTAAATTGAAAGTGAAAGACAATTGACTATCATTCATTGTTTCCATGCCCAAATTAACCGTCCCAACTCACTGGGAACCCGAAGTCGCAACTATCGTCGAAAGTGCAAAATTAAGACGAAAAATGAGCCGGACGTATCAGCAAGAAGCCAATTAATTAGTCAAATTATACAATCTCTATCTACAAGCCACCCATCTCCATGCTGAGTCTCTGGCAGATCGAGATTCAAAGTAACGGAGCCAACAAATCAAGCTATGAGCGAGCTTGCTTGCTTGCTTGAGTTGGAAAAAGCTCAATTAGAACAACAAGAAGAAACTGTACAAACAACAAAACCCAAAAACAGGGAAAGCACCCAGCCACCCATCACCATGCAAAGTCAGAGTCACAACACGTGGCGTAATCCCAGCCACTTCAGAGATCCAACGGATCGCGTCCATTTGCCTCACGTAACTTCCCAGATCCGCTGCCTCAGGATTCATCTCTCCCTGCCATAGGCGTCTTTCCTCGGGCTATCTGAGATCAATCAGATCATTGAATTTCAGCTTTCATATTCCTTTGCAATCCTCTTCTACGGTGATTTTTGGATTCTTTCGCTTACCATCATTTCTCCCATCTCATTTTTATGTAATTCTCGGCCCTTTTCCTATTTGGTTTCGCGGATAATGTAGCAAAAACCCATTTTCGCTTACGCCGCCGGATCACCTATCACCGCATTCATAGGCTTGGGTGAAACTCAACGATTGAAGGCAGAAGGCAGGAGAAGGAACTACGAATGTACAGAATCCGGTCTTAGCAGCAAAGAGTGTGGATGCCGCAAATCAGGTCGTTGCAAGAAGGGCTCTGACAGGCAACCAGGAATCAGCATTGGGTCTCGTGATGGACGAGGTTGTGGAAGAGGTTGAGAAGGTGAAGAGGGAATGGTATGAGACATACAGCAAAACGCAAGAGCATATAAAGGCAATTGGAGAATATGGGAAATCAGGGAGATCCGAGGAGAAAAATTCACTTCCCAGACTCAATGGCATTGCTCAGGATGGTTTGGCATTGCTTTCTTCCTTGCAGTTCAGGCTTGATCTTCTTGCTCCGCAGTTGCCCACTGATGAAGAGGTGGAATCTGCTAACACGGTGCTTGAATCCTGGAAAGCTCAAAGCCAGAGGTATTCTCTCTCTCTCTCTCTCTCTCTCTATAACTGCAGTGTCCGTGTTGAGGGTCTTAGCGTTTTATCTATTTACTTTCTTCTACTTGAAAATAATTGAAAATTTGCTCCTTGACCTTCCATAACAAGGCTTCCTTCTCTATGGTCGGTACCAACGAATCAAGGGAATCATTTTCATTTTCACTTGCGACGATTTCTCGTTTTAACTGTTGCTAGTTTAGACTGTTGCTGTTTTACTAACATTAAAAATTTACAAGCTCTGGTTTACGTAAGAAGTTAAAGAATTGAGTTATGTGATGTCATTTTCTTGTGATTTCCGTTGATAATATCTGTTTGATTATTTCATTACAGTTTGAGATCAAGTCTGAGGAATGCGAATCTGCAAGCAAAGGAAAATATGAGGAAAGCTGCTAAGGAGGAGGCAATTTACTTTATCTTTTCATTTTTCTGTTCATTTTGCTAGCCTCTTTCTTTTCTTGTCTTGAATGAATTGTTCCGATTATTACATTTTTGTACTAGATTAAAATATAATCAACTAATCATCTTATCAGCCACTACTCTACCCTATGTGACGATGATGATAATTTTGTTGCATATTCTGTTCATTATCATGATCATTTATGTGTTAATTTGGAGTTCTCTAGATGGATGTGTTGCACCACAATGTGTGTAACTTGTTCTGTTTCTTCATGATCCAGAGAGAGCTACTTCTAGGAGGCGGAGGAGAGTCCACTGTTCGCCGACGCAACTTACAGTAAGTCATGCGTGTTATTTCAACTTGTGTCAGCATGTGCTTGCTTGTTTTGTATCTTGTGTCTCCTTGTACTGAAAATTTCAATTAGGTAGACTGCCAGCATTTAAAATAAAGTTGTCTAATTTGTTATCTTGCAGAACAAAAGCTGGAATGACAACTGCTGCAGAGAGCATTACAGAAAGTCTTCGTCGAACCCGCCAGCTGATGGTTCAGGTCAGTAGCTAGGTACCTCTTGTTTATCATTTATCATAATCAAAGTAAACTCATATCCTCTTTAAATATTGTATCATGTCATCTTTTATTTATTTATTTATTTGTTATGTGAGAGTATCCTGTTATTATTTCTCTCTGCTTGATCCACATAGCCTTTATGTCAAAATAGATAAACGTGTTCTTTATATTTATACAGGAGGTTGAAAGAAGCACAGGCACACTTATGACAGTTGGTATGTTTTTTTTCCCGTCTCCACCTCCTTTCTTTGATGTATTTCATGAAAAATATTTAATTCCATTTGTATTTTGTTATCTCCCTACTTTATGTTTTACGCTTCAGACATCACATTCTCTCTTTTTCTATTGCTATATATGAAATATATAGTAAGGCAGAGAAGGGAGCGATAGGGTCATGGCAATATGGCATATAACTCCCAAATTTGGTGGAGCGGGAAAAGTGGAGGTTTGAGAGGATATGTATGGAGTGGTTATGCATGACCCCTTACTTCCCCATTTCCTTTATTAAAAGAACGTAGGGCTGTTGGTAACTTACGGGTCTCACTTTTGAGTAACCACTAGTAATTCTTGTGGTATTTAAGCAGCATGGTTTCTCCCCCTTACAAGCCGATGTTTAGCGGTTAGATTCTCATGCTTGCTTAAGTCTTCATAAGTAACCTTAAGCTTTTCTTTTTTTACTTCCATTTCCCTTTGGTAAAAGACAAAATTAAGCCTTCTAAATTTTGCTAGGTTCAGTGAGGTTGGCTTTGTGAATTGCTCAGGGATTTCAATTTAATTGATAACCTTTGAAGATTTTGTGACATGGGAAAAAATTAAGAATAGAAACTCTTGAAGGTTTGCAAATATCCTATTAAGAGGGCTGATTCTTTATATATAGGTTATCGAACAAGAGACTGTGGTCAAACCACTTGTAAACATTTAGAACCTTGAATTAATTTTGACCATAAAATTCTTTTAAGATTAGAAGCTTGAACTAACTGCGTCGCATCCTTTTATTTGGAAAAACTGTCTAAATACACAGAGGAATCAACGGGAGTATTAAAGAAGGCTGAAAGTGAATACAAAGGGCAACGCTCTTTGTTGATGAGAACACGAAATCTACTCTCTACAATGCAACGTCAAGATGTCATGGACAGGTATGGGAAGTAAAAATGAACATGATTTAGTTTGGTGTCCATGTTGATTGGCTCATCACAAGATATAACTGGACAGGGTGATACTTGGGGTTGGCTTTTTCTTGTTCTCCCTTGCTGTGCTTTATGTTGTTTCCAAGCGGATTGGGCTGCTTAAACTGCAGAGAAAGGTTGCTGAAGCTGTGAAGGCTGGTTTGGCGGGGCAGGTGGAGTTGAGACCCCAAGCTGTTGCCGATGATGCTCGTGTTCATAACGCAGAGGCTTTAATGCATGATGAACTTTAAACGTTGTTGCCTTTATTTTTCTCGTCTTTTTTTTTTTTTTGAGAATTAGCTAAAAATAGGCAAAATATAAAGGTTTTGCACTTGTTGATAGAAATTTTTTTCCCTGGCCCAAGAATGAAGTTTTCTTGATACTGTAGTTAAAGAAGAATTCTCAGCAATCTGCCCTTCCTAATGTTTTTAATATTGATCTCCTCACATGAACCATGAAACTTTCGAAATCTCTGTAGCTAGATTATTGTTTTGGATAATAACCACTTACTTGAATATATCATTGGGTTCAAGCAATGAAAAGAAAAAAAGTGAACAGATGTCTCTACTTTTACAAGTATTTGTATTGAAATTAAATTGACTCAATAGTCATGAAAAATACAATTTTTATAAATTATAAATAAATTTTTTAAATATTTTAAAATATAGTTCATTTGCAAAATCAATTAAAGATGATTTTGTTTTAATTCATAGAATAAATATATTATCAAAACACTTTGTATAAACTGGTTCGTGGATATATCTCTTATGACCAATTAAATAATTTTAGCTTTTAATTAATTGAATCAAATTCATGCATACATCTCCATCATATCTCTTTCCCTTTCACAATTATTCTTTCTCTTTTTTAGTGGCGTAGGAATCAATGTAATATTTACATATTGCTTTCTCATTATCCTACCAAGTGTATTTTTTTGCAAAAGATGTCTAAACATAAATAGTTCAATTTTGTGCCTTTGCAATAAGTCTTATTGTCATGCTTCCTTGTGCGAAGATGAATATAAACCCAAAACTTTCATTGCATAAGGGTATTTGATTTTTCATGATAAACTAAGATGTTCAAAACAATTTTAAACTGCATTTAATTTGTTTTGAACAAATAATTATGCTTTTTTTATTTTTTAATTTACAATAGTAAATCAGTGATATATAATTATATATCACTGATAAACTATTATAGTAAGAATTTATCACACCATTTAATCTTGTATATATGAGAATGTTTATTCTCATCATTTCTTATAATGAAAAATAAAATTTATTAATTTAAATATTTGATTATTTATGATAAGCTAAGATGTCCATAATTATTTACGAATTACTTTTAATCTATTTTGGGCAAACAATTCTTTTTTTGTGTTTTTATCTACAATAGCATATTAGTGACATAAAATTATATATCATTTATAAACTATATCAGTAAAAACTTATCAACACCATTTAATTTTATAGATATGAGAATATTAAATCTCATCATTTCTTTTTTTTTTTTAAGAAGGTTAAATGAAACTCTCTTCCATCATCTTCAAGTATTTCAAAAAAAAAAAAAAGGTTTCACCCCAAAACAAATATTTAAAAGAAGAGCATATTACTTGAAAAAAAAAAAATAGTTCTATCATGTAAAGCTTAACTAAATATTAAAATGACAATAATGTAAAATGTAATAAATATCAAACCATTTATTGAGTTTAATTTTATAAAATAGGCTATATATGCAAAAATCCCTTATATTTATTATGTCATTTTTAAGTTTTCATTTCCAATTATAACACACACACACACACACACACACACACACACATGCAAATTATATTTTATTTGGGTATAACAATTAATTTCAACCTAAAATTTCTTAAATCATTCAGCCACTAATCTCTTTTGTCCATATTCAGCTAATAACCTGGCTTTTGCCAGGTTTATGAGTATAGTATTACAAAAACATGTGCAGATCAACAGTAAAACACAGGAGAGCCCAAAAAGCAGGATATTTTATGACACTTAGCATGTGAAAACCACACCTTCATCAGTAATCAGTCAAAACAACTCGATCCAAGGCTCTATTGCGGCTGCCAATTTCTTTCACCGACTTGCAAAGAACAAGCCCAACGTAAATGCATCGCCTACCTTTCTCACTTCATTTGTAACTATTTTCCCCAAACCGGACAATGCAAGTTTATATATATATGAACACCTAGCCCTAGGGTATGCTCAGCAAGACAAGCAGCCCGCTCTAAACGAATGGAATGACAATATTTGTATCGTGCTTAGTCCCACATAATTATGCAAATAGCAATCCATTAGCATCAGCTTGTTGAGTTCAGTTTTTCCAAGAGGATCTTGTTAAGAAGCCCTGGATTGGCCTTCCCTTTAGATAATTTCATAACCTGTTGTTCCACAAAAACATTTGTAGTTACAAATACCAAGATAACCATATGGGCGAAACAAACATACAAAAAGTGGGCTTCCAACTCTACAAGTGAATACCTGGCCGGCAAAAAAACCTTGTAGCTTAGTTTTGCCTCCACGATATTGCTCTAGCTGTTTTGGATTCTCTGCGATCACTTGGTCCACCATTTTTTCAATCTCAGCAGGATCTGTTATCTGTTATTTTCAAAGTCACAGCATGTGCTCACATCTTCTTTTACTCAATCGCATTTTCAAGGAATGCAACTTCATCCATGCATCTTCGCCATCAAGTAAATGGAAAAACACAAGCTCATGGTTCAAGGTGATGAACTGAAAGTTGTAACTAGGACCATGGTTGACAGGTTAGAGTAGCTTATGGCTACGACAACAATTGTTATATACTTCTTTAGGCATCAGCCAAGTTTCTTCTATTGTAACTACAGCTGACAATTTTGAAAGTAAAATGTTATATCGATAAGAAGAGAGAAAATTACTGAAAGGTACAATGGAGAAGAAAGAAATCCTCCCAAACAAAAGCTAGTACAAAGGAAGATAGACCGAGCTAACTCAGAAGAACCAATAAGGCCATTTGCAGAAACCCACAAACAGCCCATAAATGTGATCCTCTCTCAAAGAAGATGTGGTGGAAGGAATTGCTGGGAGAACGCCGAATGCACGAGGCCATAAAACATTTTTGGGGGGATAATTTCAGAAAATAGAATCTATAGGACTTAAAAAGTTTTGCACATACAGGTATGTCTTACTCTGCTTGATTCAAAGCAAGCATCTACTAAGAATATTTTCACTAGCTTTTAAGCAACCAATTTCCGTACCACCTCAATCAAAATCCCAGCCTTTACAATCCACCTTAAACAATAATAAAATTAACGCAATGAATCAAACGCCATAGTCTTACATATTTTGCAACTTACCTGAACCAGATTTTTTTCTTTTATGAGCCCCTCAACAGTTCCACCCTTGGCTAGTAGCTCGAATAATATCTACAGACACATTAGTATAGAGCCAAGTCAATCAAACCAACCAAAAGAAGGAGAAAAAATATGATGTTTGTATTGTAAGTCAATTCAACATGTGAGAAGAGGGAGAAAAGAAGTGAAACAGAATATAAAAGTGTATAGACAAGAAATGGGTGCCCATGAGACAAAATGGTTACACAGGTCAACATATTTTACAAAATAAATGCCGCATATTATCATACTTGGGGACATCGTTGTCTGTCCTATCTGAGTCTCTGAGAGAAAGCAGTGTGGGCCCATATCCCAGATATACAAACACAATTAACTATTACACTATGGTAGTTCTCTGATATTCAAAAGGGTGAAAACATGAGTGTCCAAAGAGTGTGTTTGTGTGTGTGATTAAAATCATGACGTTGGTGGCTGTTAAATGAGTCAATAAGATCTAGAGACAGTGATAAAAATATGGTGTGCAAGCATTAGCAAAGCTGAGACCTTAGATATACACCATTGACAAGGTGCAAATAAAACTATACCTCCTTCCCAATCTTGCCACTGATAACTCCGCCTTTAATGGAAGCTATCAACTCAGACAGCTCTTCAGGTGTAAGCTTAATTTCATTTACTGTCAACTTCTCATTTTTCATGAATGCAGCAATATCGCCCATTATCCAGTTGGCAGCTAACTTTACATCAGCACCCTTTGCAATGGTAGCATCAAAAAAATCTGCAATCTGATAAATCCATCCAGCAAACAGAAAACAAGTCAATCATAAGTGAAAATACTTTCCAGCAGCAACTTCAAATGACTAATAATGTGAAGCATATGCTTCCCATCAAGATTAGCAAATAGAAAATTGCTGGTGACACAACCTTTGGAGTCATAAATTTACAAGCGGTCAGTATAGAACTTAATCCTTGAGAAGGATATGAGACAAGTATTACTTTATATTCACTATCGGAAATGCATTGTTCAGTATAACGACTAAAGATTCATAAAAGCAAATTAATGATGTCTAGAGAGAGAGAGAGATGAGAAGATAAAGAAACACTACCATAACTTTTAGAAACAACAGAGTACTCACATTTTTGTCATTAGCAAGGAAAAGAACATCTTGCATGCTCAGGCCCATATTCTCATATCTTCTACGCTTTATTTCTGGAAGTTCAGGTAAAGAATTGCCAATATCATCAACATATTCTTTGGAAAGAATGACTGCTGGAAGATCTGGTTCTGGAAAATATCGATAATCAGAAAGCCCTTCCTTTTTCCTCATTGTAACTGTTCTCTAAACAGAAGAACAAAATTTCTTTACGTAAATAAGAATGCAGGAAATAGATACTATCTTTTACCTGCTAACCTAAAAAACCACAATAATATCACAATTAGTACTAGCCTGAGCGCCTTCTTCCCATAGACGAGTTTCCTGTACAATCTGGTCTTGATGACCTTGACTATGGAGTTGCACCTGCCTTGAAATTTCAAAATCTATGGCTCTACTCACTGATGAAAATGAGTTCAAATTCTTAATTTCAACCTGTCAATACAATTAATAATATCAGCTGCTAAATTTGTAAAAGATTGTACTATTTCACACAGCATTGCCATAAAGAACAAAAGTCACATCACTTTAAATACTTCATCGAAGTTAAAAACAAGGGTCAAGCCATTTTACATACAGTTTTTCTCAATACATAAAGATATGTCATTTCGCTCATCTACAAGCTTGATTTATAAAAACTGCTCTGCATTTTATCCTTTAAGGTAATGAAAGTCCCCAGTTAAATGATGTCAACTGCTGTCCTGGCATAAATGTTGGCAAGATTAATTATTTCAGATGATATCTTCCTTTCACCTCCCGTATAATAAAATTAAAAAGAGAATAGTTAATATGATTAATGCCTTCAAATGTTAGATCCAGGTAAGAAACATTCAGAGCCTCAGTAAGTTAACCAAAAGGAGCAGCAGAGAATAATGTGAGTACCATTGTCATTATATTATTAATTATTAATATATTTCATCCAGAAGATTGCATAAACATAGCTCAAATAAAACACAGGTCCACAAAAAATATTTAGAATAGGAACAAGATTTACGGAATTGTGAAGTCTTTATGCAATTTTATTATCAACATCAATAAACCTCCCATTAAAGTACCGATTTAAAAAAGCCGAATAATACCTGTGTGCAAAGCGTGGGATGTTACTTAAATACTAAATGTTAAAAGAAACATGAGATACCTTTGTCCCAAACCGAGATTGCCCAATGGGTCGAACTGAGACATTCACATCACAACGAAGAGAACCTTCTTGCATATTGCCATTGCTCACTCCCAAATACCGAACCAGTCTCTGTAATTCTGCTGCATACTCTGCTGCTTCAATACCGTTTCTCATATCAGGCTCAGAAACTATCTCAAGCAATGGTACCCCAGCCCTATTTAAATCAACCTGCCATGATAGACCACAAACTCATGCCATGAATAACAGCTATTAAGCCTTCTATAATTTTTTAAGACCCGAACAATGGGCTCGTATGCGTTAAACAAATCCAACATAAAAATTTGTTCATGTACGACAAAACTGACAGTGCAGATTGTCCAAGTTAGATAATACTGAAGGGTATTTGAAAATTAATTGTGAGTTAAAACGATAGAACTCAGAACTATACGCGTGCTTGTGCTCGCGCGCGCGCGCGTGTTAACATAGCAAAGAAGAAAACATGCTAAACAAGCGACTGAATAGTCAATGCAAAGTTTAGGATAGAAAAGTAAGTGAAGGGGATTGAGCGCTTACCTGAGAGTAGCTTCCATTTTCTGCATGTAGCAGCTTCCCTGCATCCTCTTCCATGTGAACTCTGGTAATGCCAAACTTCCTGTGGCCACCACCATATTCCACTGGAAGATCCACATCAATGTAACCACCGGTAGCAATTGGCACATCAAACTGAGAAATTTGATACCCTTTTGGAAGATCTGGGTAGAAATACTGCTTCCTATCAAACTTGGAGTTCAAAGATAACTTGCAATTAAGAGCAAGACCCAATTTCACAGCAAACTCAATGACCTTGGAGTTCAAAACAGGCAAAGCACCAGGCAAGCCCATGCAAATGGGACAGACGGAGGAATTAGGTGGAGACCCATAATTGTAAGGGCAACCACAAAAAGCTTTGGTTAGAGTGGAAAGTTGAACATGGGTTTCTATACCAATGATTGCCTCAAAGTTTTCTGCGATTTTGTTCAATTTTTTGGATTGGGTACTTGATGGAGAAACTTTGGCTTGGGAGGATTGCTTTTCTTGTGTCGCAGTTTGGGATTGTGCGGCTTTCATTGTGCAATACATAGCCCCATTTTTTCTTCCAAGTAGCGAGACTGGATATAGCAGCAAGGGGTTCAATTGAAAGCTTCTGAAAATTGTGGAGGCCATGTATGTTTGCTCGTCCAAAGAAATGAGCGAGCTTGAAGGAGTTTACCACTCACAGTGTCTTCCTCCCCAACAGATATCCGAATAATTCTTGTGTGGCATCGTTTACTTCTGCTCAACACGGAATTTTGATGGGACTGTTTTTTTCCCCTTATAAAGAATGGGCCTTTAAGATGAGATGACATATACCATTAAAAATCGGAGCTCAAGCCCAATTAGAAACAGAAACACGAAAAATGAAAAATATACTGTCATATTTTTCCATATTTATTTATGACAATATTCTTTACCAAAAAATATATAGACATATATATTTAGTTCATATAATGCTCGAGAAACTTTAGAAAATTATTATTAAATAAAATATTCAAGCACCCATGAGTTTAGAATGAAATAATTTATTTTATATCATAATTTAGTCTCCCTTTGATATATTATTTTTAAAAGAGACGAGAGTAAAATAAATTGAAGCCAAACAATCAAGGATTAAGCCAGTTGAGACTAGTTTTTAGGCCAGACACAATGGAGACTACCTTAAGTGATGAGATAAAGTATAAGTAAAAATGTATATTTTAAACCTTTTTATGTTTTAAAAAAATCATAAATTGAAACACATTAATATTTAACCAGCACAAAGTGGACTTTGTACCTTTAGCCTATTGTTTACAATGCAGATCAATTTTTTAGTGTATTCATAAACCCATGGGCCTTAATCAACATTTTTGTCCAAAGCAATATAGAAGCAATTATATCTCATAAGTTGCACATAATTTCAATTGGGAACCAAACAAAAACAAGCACTTAATGGTACTACAAGCGGAGGTTATAATCGTTTATTTACAGGCAAATTGCTAAATAAAATATTGTTGAAAGTAGAGTCCTCATGGGATCCTGTATCGGGGGAAAAAAAAGGGGGAGTTCTCATAGGATCTGTTCTTTCACAAGCATTTCTATTCATTCGTCCCTAACATTACGGAAAGCAATTAAGCTTCATGCAAGCCGGTCGCGAGTATCATTGCTGTACAAGTAGAGCATTATTTACACAAGTTGATACAGCTGAGTTACATTGTCAAACTTGGCAGTGACAAGACCTGCAAATGCTTCGCCATTCGCCAAGCAGCATAGGCTACACAATTGACATCATCCAGTGGTAGTTGATGACTAATTACAGGAGAGTTCAGCAGATATTGCACTCTAATTTCCAATTTATTTTTCACCATACAGAAGATAACTGTACTGGGCCAACGAGTGTGAGACAGCATATATATGTAAGACAATTACTTGATTCCGCCGTGAGTTCATGTGGCACGAGCAAACACTCCCAGGTAAAATGATGAGGCTGAAACCTGGATTTCCTGCCGCAGCATACGAATATGACATACAAGTCAGCTTATATCTATTGGTTGATTAATATACCAGAACAGGATTTTTTTTCAAATTATGATTGACGTTGACAACTCATTGAAAGCCTACACTGTGATGGAAGCCTGCTCCGTGTAAATCAAAGGCAGCTGTGGGTAAAGAAACAAGCAGAAAGAACCAGGCCATTTACACAATTTGGTATTGACATTCTTCATGGTAATATAAATAAGCAACATTTTCAATTAACTAGACCATAATGCTAACCGTTCAGGGAAAAAAAAACAAACAAACAAACAAACCAAAGAAAGGACAGACCATCACAAAAAGTCGAGAATAAACATTAAGTTCCAGTGCTGGCTTCTTCCTCAACCTTAGCTTTTTTAAACATATTTATTGTCACGATTATGTCAAAAAGTATTAAGGAAATAAATCTAGATTGATATGAGCAAACTTAAAGACTAATTAAACTGCAATGATCCTGAACAAGAAATTTTATGCAGGAAACCTGAGGAAATGGAAAAGGGTGAAACCCAACATCTAACAAAGCACATTTTGAGAGTGCAAATATATATATATATATATTTATTTATTTATTTATTTTCCTAAAAGGAAAAGGAATAAATAAAGCATACGGCATATTAATTTGAATCTCACCGCCATCATTCAACCATTGAGGTACAAATTAACAAATGATGCGCTTGTTATACTAGTCAACAGATCCACGACATGGTAATCTAAATATGATAAAATCTTGTCCTCTTCAGTAGGGTTGGACATTTTAAATATAACTTCTTCAGCTGTTGCAAACACTTGAGTCGGACATGTAGTCATAAAGTCCGAGATAAGTTGTATTGGTCTTGCATAAAGAATAGTATGGCTTACTATAAATTTTATATATTACATTGATACTCAATGTACATTTCATGACAGCCTAGCTACCTGCATGAGTTAAACAGTACGGGAAGAACTAGAAGCCATAGTTCTAGACCAAAGATAACCGCTATAGAACAAACACAAATCTGAGATAATCATTGACAAAGCCTTGTCGTAAGTGTAATTCATTGCGTTGTATTCAATAGCACTGCAACAATGATACAACTTCATAAGTTCACAAAATGTCAACAATCCAAAAGCTTAAGTTATTATTCAAATGCTCAGAATTGGTTTTATTGACATTTTCGGCATTCAAAGCAAAGACAATGAACATGGCCCCAATAATTTGTGAGACTGTATTTCAATTAAGAGTTTTCTTTAGGTTGGAGGTGTCAAACTCCCGATTACTTTAGAAAGGAAGGCTTTTGTCACCCAAATCAATCTATAAGAAAGCAGTCTAGCTTGGGATACAACCAATGTGGGACTTGCTAGTGTAACTACAGAAAGAAGACTAATACTATTCTAAAACAAATTACATAATAAGTTTAAACGCTTGTGATGAGTTCAAGTGGTAGAGAGTGCGAGATAATGGGGTAAAAGCGGATGATTACAGTAGAATTGTGTAAAGATAGATATACTTTTGAAGTCACTACTCACCATCCTATTATTTTGGAATTGCTACATTGATGCCAAAATTGCAACAGCGAGAACAATTCTTGCACATAGTTCAAGCATCCAGGGAATAAAATATTGGCAATACATATTATATTAAACATATAATCTGTTAAAGAAAAGTAGTTTTCCAACCCCGCAACAATTATTTTGTAGAATCAACTAGGCAAGCAAATTTTTAAAAGCACCTTCTTGGTGAGTGCCTCTGATAAGAACTTTCAGCATTTCAAGTGAATGGATTAAGGTGATAAATGATAGACCTTACCTTAACAAATGCTAGAACTGGAAGTCTGCCAAGTGTTAGAATAGTGTAGAAGTCATGCTATGCATTAACAACTTGTGGGTTGAGCCTATCCTAATGTTAGCCCGTTTTATAGTTATAGATAATCATAAGGTTAGTCGAGGAATTCAGACTACTGGAGTCACTCACCAGACAATCCTTTCCAAATTAGTATAGTCAGTCAGTTCATGTCATGTCTACAATACAACAACCACCCCCAGGAGACATTGATTCCCCTAGGCAAGTACTGAAGTACTTGAATAAATCTCCAGGGAAAGGAATATTTTATTGCAACCATGAGTATCCTTCTCAGATGTTCATTAGGCCAAATCTCTAGATGATAGGAAGTCAAGCATAGAATGTTGTGTCTCTATTAGTGGAAATCTTTTGACTAGGAAGAGGAAGAAGCAAATTATAATTGCCAAATATAGTGCAAAAGTTCAATAGCAGGCCATGACCTAAACAATATGTGAGCTTATGCGGGTCCAATAACTTCTGAATGAACTAGCATTGGAGATAATTACATATATATAGTCATACATATTCCAGTGAAGGTATGGCGTGACAAACAAGAAGTCATACATAATTACATAGTCATATGGGAGAAGCTTCAACAGAATTTTTTAAGTAAAACTTTCTTTGGTCATACAAGAGATCAAATAGAAGTTTTATTTATAATGGCATGTAATGGGACGAGAATTGAATTTCTTTTAACAAGCCAGGCATCATATAGGAAGGATGTTAGAAAAGCATGGCAGCTATTATAGCATGAGCCCATTCTACGGCCACAACTAGACACAATGAATATAAGAACAGAGCTGGTGATCCCATTCTCTTTCCCATATTTCTCTTCTACCTTTTTCTCTCGTCATTAGTTACACAAAGAGTGTATTCAAATAGTTATTTCAGGCAAGCTCAAGACAGAAGGTGCACATCAAACACTTACTTACAAGAGATCATCTGTAAATAATCTGTATAAATGAGTAAATATTACCAAATTATCACTAATATGAAGAATCATAGGGCAAACAAAGCAACTTGATGGTAAATATTCAGTTTCATACCATCAAATCAGGTCCTATATTTGCTATATAAGGCATGCTTGAATTAAATCAACCTCACCCAATAGTAAAAAGCAAGCCTCATACTGTCTCCCCCTAAAATAGCAAGCATCCACCTCCAGTAGAAGAAACTTTAAATTCTTAAAAGTCCCCAACTTTGAAGACATGCACTTCTTTCTAAAGTCTCAGCAATAAAATGTAGTAGCTAAGACATTCAATAGTTTCACCAAGCAAGGGCATAATTAATAATACAAAGCACGTTAGTTAAACTAAAAGAAGACAAGGAATAGACCTGGATCCCCTACAAGGATGTGCAGGGTCCACATCAAATTTAGACTGTTCAAACTTTCTGAAAATAAAAAAAAAATGAGAGAAGTTAACAAAATCTAGACTGATTAGTTATATTTCAGACTCCAAATCAGATGCACAAGAGATGTGCAGTTATCCGTTTGCAACAAGGCAAAACACTCACGAAGATATGCACCATTTCTGCAGGCAAGCCTGTGTCATATGCATAGTTTATGTATCATTAGACCATTTATGAAATATTTTAAAGCCATATCTGCATAATATATAATTTCTAGCACAATATTTGTGCTTGTACTAGTGTTATATATCGTTAGATAGGGCCCAGAACTGTTCAAAATTAACTGAGAATCGCTAGGCAGCATGTCTCATGCTATTATTTGAACCTGAGCTCGAACATATATAACCCAGACTACTTTTTATTATTTTCAAATTCTACATCAGTAAGATGGGAAAGGATCCTCTAAAGTGCATTATGCACATGCCACGTATAATGGACAATGGATTGCCATTTGAGTGTTAGATTACAATTTTCATAGGTCTTCACTAGATAACTCAAAACCTTTATGACCAAGC